AAGGGTACATCGCCTGGAAAAAAAGGTAACAAGGAACACTGATTTAGGCCAGAATGTCTAACTTATAGTACCTGCATATCTATCCAAATACTACACCATGATTTCCACACACCCTCGCTTGCCATTCATACAATTCGATTAAGGGCCCGACTCTGCTGCTTTAAACAGATGCACTGATGTCAACAGAACTAAGTCAAAATACACTCAGAGAATCTGGCCTTAAAATGTAGCTTAAAGTAAATTCAGCCTGCAGTATGGCACAGTCACTCTATGGACACTGGCCAGGTTTAAAAAAAGATTCAACACACAGAGGAGAAAGTAAGTGCTGAAAAGCTTCAGTTAGATCAGGGGTCGGCAACCTTTCAGAAGTGGTGTGCCGAGTCTTCATTTATTCACTCTAATTGCGTGCCAGTAATACATTTAAACATTTTTAGGTCTCTTTCTAGAAGTCTATAATATAGAACTAAACTATTGTATGTAAAGTAAATAAGGTTTTTAAAATGCTTAAGAAGTTTCATTTAAAACTAAATTAAAATGCAGAGCCCCCCGGACCGGTGGCCAGGACCTGGGCAGTGTGAGTGCCACTGAAAATCAGCTCGTGTGCTGCCTTTGGCATGCGTGCCATAGGTTGCCTACCCTGAGTTAGATTATTGATTACCTACTACTTTTCTTCCTCTTTGGCTCTCTTCATATATCCCTAGGAGCTCCACTTGGCAGTTCCGTGAGGCTGGTATTGACAGATGCTTTACTGTGAGCTTTGCCATGCCTCTGGGGGACATTCTGAGCACCCAAGAGCAATTCAAGCTTCCTATGTAGCCTGATGAGCAAGGGGATGAGAAGAAACCTCTGGGCTCTGTTAACTCCACTTCCGATGGACATTCTGCACAGAAGAGCACATGCTGGTCACAGAAGCATTGGGAAAGAGCTTTTACTGCTCTACAATGCCTATTAATTACGTCTTAGATCAGAGATCCTAAGAGGACAATATGGCCAATGGGAAATAGCTTGTTAGTACTGCATGTAACTGCTTCAGTCATCACTGAGACCCAGGGCACTGACTGTCTCTCTAGTAAGACAAAGAGAAAGTTTGCCCTCCGTTACAAACGTGCAGTCCTCTGAAGCCAGTTGAAATGCACAGGTGTAACCGAGGGCAAACTTTTGCTTCTCCCTAATGAAGATATGGTATAGTTCCCATAATTTAGTATTTAAGCAATCCCCAGGTCTCCAGTGCCTGGAATGATAGAAGTGAAATACTCCAGTACAGACAGAGGATGAGTTTCCAGTGCTAAAAGGCAAGCACAGTGCTTTGAGAAAGCCCCAACAATCCAGCTACTGGAAGCAAGATGGGCAACATCCCCAAAGTGACCAAGTGCCCAGGCTGCCAGGCCTTTAAGAGGGGAGACCAAAAAAGAGTTCGTAAAACTGGCCTGCCAGCCCATCCAAACAGCCAATGACCCTGGACAGTGCCAGAGTGAACTGGGTGTTCAATGGGGAGAAACCTAACAAAGCTATCCAGCTCAAGCTTTCACATATTCATTGATCTGGACAATTTTCCAGTGTGATGATTTATTCTTTATCTGACACTGGTCTCTTACCAACCTGGCCAGGCTTAGGCAACAGGCTGAGCAAGTTAGTGGATGTTTCCTGGGAAAGCAAAGAATGCTTTCCCTGCTTAGAAATCACACAGATAAGGGCACAAGAAGAACAGAGCTGTGTTGGCTTGTGCTCCATGCACACAGAGGGGACTCAAATGCAGCATTTCCCAAGTGGAAAGAGACCCAATCAATAGGGAAATATTTTGAAGCATCTGTGTGAGTGTTGTAAGCAGGAGGAGAGAAAACAAAACTGCTAGTGAGATGTGTCCCCCTTTAATCCTGTATACAATAGGGCTTTTTGCAGCCCACAGCAGTATCTTTTATAAGCCATAATCTCTCTGTAATAGCGTTAGTACTTTGTAAGTCATTTCCTCCACCACTGAAATTTGTGAAATCCCTGCTAAAGCTAGCATTGACCTCACCACCTCTTGCCCCAGACATTATGCATGAGCATGGGATGCTGACAACGGGAAAAAGCTTGCAGTTCAGTTTAGTAGGCTGGGTGGTTAGGCTAGGAACCCAAAGGAAGGAGTGTGTACCCCATCTCTATTCTATATGTAAGCAAGTTAAATGAATCCTATGCGGAGGTTGCTATGCTGGTAACTGATGCTCTCTGTATGGAAGAGGTACAGCATTGCTAGCAACTGTGTGAGCATCCCCACCCACTACATAAGAACGACCAAAATGGATCAGACCAAAGGTCCATCTAGCCCAGTATCCTGTCTTCTGACGGTGGCCAATGCCAGGTGCCCCAGAGGGAATGAACAGAACAGGTAATCAAGTGATCCAACCCGTCGCCCATTCACAGCTTCTGGCAAACAGAGGCTAGGGATATTATCCCTGCCCATCCTGGCTAATAGCCATTGATGGACCTATCCTCCATGAACTTATCTAGTTCTTTTTGGAACCCTGTTGTAGTCTTCACCTTCACAACATCCTCTGGCAAGGAGTTCCACAGATTGACTGTACATTGTGTGAAAAAAATACTTCCTTTTGTTTGTTTTTAAACCTGCTGCCTATTAATTTCATTTGGTGACCCCCTAGTTCTTGTGTTATGTGAAGGAGTAACTAACACTTCCTTATTCACTTTCTCCACACCAGTCATGATCATATCCCGCCTTAGTCCCCTACACGGTCCTGGAGGCACCATTCTGTAGGGATATTTCAAGTCTCTATGGCCATTCAAATCCCTGACTTCTGCTGAAATTATCAGCATGGGTGCTAGTTATAGGGTGACCAGATGTCCCTATATTTGGGGCTTTTTCGTATATGGGCACCTATTACCTGCCTGCCCCCGTCCTGATTTCACACACTTTCTTTCTGGCGACGCTAGCCAGTTAGCACAGCTTAGAGCACATATTGCTTGCCTGTGTTCTCTGGTAACAGTGCGAGCAAGCTGAGCTGGTAGTATTAACTCCTGAACAGACTGGATTTTTAGAACAGTGAGCAACAGCACTTGGGACCTTGCCAAAGCTAGTGTCTTGTTTAAGGGTTCTTTTGCTTTCTCTCAATGTTTTCACCATTCTTTCCTTCAATGCTGTCTGCTCAGCGGTGGTAGAAAAGCTTTTTGAGTGTGTTAAGTGTGTGGCAGGTGGTAGAGGTTGGGTCAAGAGCCAAAATTGTTTATCATCATCATCATATTTGTATTACAGTAGCCTCTGAGCCCCAGCCAAAATTGGGACCCAGTTATGCTAGGTGCTGTACATAAGCACAGAAAGACTGTTTCTACCCTGCACAGCTTGCAGTCTAAATAGACAAGACTGACAAAGGGTGTCAGACAGGAAATATTACACCTTTTACAGATGGTGAATTGAGGTAGAAAGAATTAAGTGAATTGCCTAAGATCACACAGGATGTCTGGGGCACAGGCTGGAACCGAATCCAGTTCTTCTGATTTAGTCCAGTGCCTTAACCACAAAAGGATCCTTCTTTTATGGATGTGCTTGGGTCTGCTCTCATCCACCCCATCCCCTCCACACACAAAAAACAGAGCCAAGCATTCCCTGTGGTCTCCTCCTCTGGAGTACAGAGCCCTGAGAGGTGGCACTTTAAAATCATGCACTCCAATTGTGTCCTTTTTATCTCTCAAAGAAAGCTGTCCACGGTTTATTCAATAGAACGTTCTGAAAGCAGATGGTGCAAAATACCCCTTAGCACCATGGATAAATGGAAATGTTTGGAGCCAAAATCTTAACTATGATGGGCCTTTCTGAAATCCTTGCTGAGTCAGGAGTGCCAAGTGTTAGTCCCAGTGCTGTCACTTACTTTTCAGACCACCTACAGTACTGAGTAAGTTCCATTAAGGAAAGTAGGTAACCTACATTAAAAACTGGTCATTCTAGTAGAGGCTGGTCCATATAAGAGAGTTATGAAAGTCTGCTACCGCTTTCAGGTAGGGGACTTGGTCCGTCAACTCAAGTGGCTGCATTCCATGCCTTTAGCTCAGAGAGGAGCAGGTTCAGTCCCTGCTCTTGGCCCAAGCAGGGCTGGTTACTCCCTAGTTTACCAGTTTGTGAAAAGGGCATTCTGACATTTACCTAACTTAGGAGGATGAGGGTTAATTAATATTTTAAGTCAAGCGAGTCATAATCCTGTGAGAAAACCTGCTAGTTAAGGGCCAAATTCTTATGAAAGTAGACAATGGAGAATTATTCTCTAGCCAACAATAAAAATATATTGAATTCCTTGGCCAACCGTTCAAGCAATATTAAAAGGAGGATGGAAATTGTTTTCTGATTGGCAGTTATGCTAGTCGTATGGGGCTGGGAAGGGCACGAGAATATGGTGGCTGGTATCAAATAGCTTAAGATTGTAGTGTGGGGCAACGTAAGGAAAAAACTAACAGCAAGAAGGTTTGTTTGTTTTAAAAAAGAAACCAAAAAACAATCACTGAGGAAAATAGGTTATGGCTGATGGAATTCAAAAGAAAACAAGTAATTGTTTGTTGCCCCCAGTTTGGACTCCTACAGCTATAGATTCTCTTAGCTTGTCTGTACTAGTCTCGGGGTTAAAAGAGGATTATTTGTATCTAACCATAAGATCTCTTATCAATAGGCAATTCCAAGAAATCCACTGTAATTACAAAGTTTTTGGCCTTTACACACTTTGGAAACAGTTGCCTAGCTTGGCACCCTGTACAGTACTACCAAGCTGAATCTTGGCCCACCACCTTCCACAGGATACAAGGGTCTGCAAGAGACAGACCAGCAGCACTATTAACTGAATGTAGCTACAGAAGAGTTTTTACCTTGTCTGTATGCAGCTCCTGTTAGTTTTGTAGGCCGTTTCATTGGTGTCTGTGTTAAGGTTTCATGTCCATCATTACTTACCTGAAGTGCATTTGGTTCAATCTCTGTAGAGAGAGATACAGGTCTATTACTAGGACAGTTTAATAAAGATGTCCTGGGCTATGTATAATCTGTAGAGACACAGCTTTGTGGGAAACCAGACAGTACCCATCCACAGGATTAAGACATCCCACCAAGAGTCAGATTGACCATAGCCTTGCTCGTGAAGTGATAATGGAACGCTAAACCTTTCAAATGAAGCCATCTATATAGAGGCAGAAGTGAACACGAGCAAGTGATAGTAAAACCTCCACCATAGAAACTGATTTACAGGTAAAGATCTGTGCACTTCTCTTCCTGAGACTGGTTATCTTGGGGTAAACTCATGAAAAAGCAGAACTATAGAAAGCTAATGCCCAACAACCATCGATACTAGATCTTCCAATATGGAAGAGACCTCTAGCCATCTAATTCATCTGGGGGAGATGACAGACTGCTACCCTCATGAACTGCATTTAGCAATCCTGAATTAGTAGTGACCATTGTAAAAAGGCTTTTTAAAAAAGCATGCTGAGTCCCTGACTATGTTGAAATTCATTTTCTTCTTCCTCATTTGAGTTAAGAGCAGGTCTAAAAGTCATGTTTAATCTATGAAAAGGCACTGGATGACAACTGCTCTAAGCAGGCCAACAAGTGAATAGTTTTAACCCCTTATGCCAGAAATCAGGATGGGGAACAGAGCTGCATTTGCCACCACTGCAGTTCTGCTGGTAGACAATTTTTTAAAAACATATCTATATATAAAAGCATTATGCTGAGTCACACATAGCTAGAATATCAAAAGGGTTTTTTTTGCTAACCAGAGTAGGTTTTAGTTTTGCATCCTCCTGAACTAGCTTGACAAGATACAGGATGGATAATTAGGAATATCCCTTGGGATGGATGGCAGCCACATCAGCAGTGAAATTGCTGTGGGGAAGAAATAAGTGGTTTGCTCTACTTCAGTTAGGAAGACATCCCAATTCCACAGGCATGGCGGTTTGTGAGGCTACTAAGTAGGACTCGGAGACCACACACACTGCCTTAAAACATTCTTCCTGTCATCTCTCAGTGTTCCTTGCATTGTAAAGAACATGGTCCACTTCCTTTTAAGAGGCGCATACTGTATTTTAGTCATTCTCTAGTGAGCTGTGTTATTGATTACTCTTTCGATAGCACATACTCAGAAGTGTTCAAGATGCACTTGTCTAGAGTTTGATGTGTACTGGTGCAATGTACTTCATTTCAGATTATCCCGGAAGTTCTGCATGTCTAAAATTGGGCTGATAGAAAAATACCATTATTTTTCCGTGAAAAATGTGGGGAAAAAATGCACAAAAGTGTTTTGTCTGAAATTTCCTGTAAGGTTTCTCTCTCTCTCTCTCACACACACACACACACACCCACTCCTCCCTGAAAACTGGAAAATTTTTGGTTTAAAAAAAGTTTGGGTTTTTTTTTTTCTGGTATTTTTTTTGTTTGTTGGTTCAAAAATCAAATAAAGTGATTGTAAAAAAAAGATTTTTGTTTTTGGATGAAAAATGTTCTATCTGCTGTCCACAAAATACTTTGAATACTTCCAGCAAGCTCTTCCTTTAGGGGACACACTGCTTAGAAGAAAGAAGATATTTACCTCTTATTGTGGATTTGATCCAATCCAGGAAGACCCTCACCCTTGTATAAACTCCTGGTTTCTTTGGCCTGGCACAACCAACACCCCAGCTGATGATGCCATAAAGAATAAATGGCTCTTTTTCATTATAGCAAACCAATGGGCCACCAGAATCACCCTGAAAGCACACAAACAGAGGGACTTCTTAGAATATTAGTAGAAACTTCCTACATTCATTCGTCTTCTACAATCTTAGTCACAGAAGTGAAGAGCAGTCACAGACCATAGTTAAGGGGAAAAGTTTGAATAGAAGAACTGAGTGTGCCTAGCTCATGCTCCTGGTTTCTTAGTCATGGACTGGGATGGCTAATTCAATAAATCAGATTGCCTTACTAACAAAGTGGTCTGGAAGACTGAACACAGGGTTGGGAATCAGGAGGTACTAAATTCAGTCACATTTTATATAAATATTCCATTTATAATCTGTATTAGATTCCAAGCTTGTCACTCTGAAATGTTGCACACCTGTAGAATCAGTGTGAAGTGATGTAAACAGCAACAACAATGGTTGTAGCTCTTTGTGTTTAAAGTACCACCAGGTTCAATCATCACTGGGTTGTGCAGTCTGTTATTGTCCATTTTTTAAAGTTCTCAGCCATTCTGACTTTACAAATGACACCTGTGCAGTGTCAGCTACCATAAGACATGTATCTAAGCCCTGCCAGGACTCCTAGACCACTGTGATATAGATCACCAACCACCACTCTTCCTCGCACAACCAATGAAATCAATGCTTGCAAATTACCTGTGGAGTCAGACTGCACAGATAGTATATTACTTGGCTCAATTGCCATAACCATGCAACAGAACAGGCCTTCAGCTCCTAGTTTATCAAGGGTTAATAAAGGTAAATAGAAATGAAATGTGTTACAGGCATGAATATTTTGTATTCTAGAGATAAGCACACCAGTAGGTGTTACAGACTGTTATAAGCAACCTATTGACCGGTTGGATTCTAGAACAATTAAACATTACTCTCTCATATAACTAATATAAAATGTGTGACCCAATATTCTAACCTGGCTTTGTCATCTATTCACTGGGTAGGATTCAAGAAACATAAAAGGAAGAACGTTCCCCTCACCCAGAGTTACTCAGGCCTGATCACAGTTACAGCTGAAAGCCCAAATACACCACTGGTTGTTTTTGCCACTAAGCTTCTCCAGCTCCATGTTTTGAATTCAGTTCTAGTTTGGGCTAATTGTGTTTATTGTTTTTTGATGCGCTATGCATTGCCCATTCCTGCTGTAGACAGTTATCGGGGGCGGCTGCCTTGTTGGTAGGATTTGGTCTACCAGAGTTTTCCCAACGCTTTCTACCACATTAAAATACAGCCGAAAAACAATCACCAAGACTCATCTTCAATGGTACTTGCATTTAGTAGCAACTCACCTGGCAGGAATCCTGCCCTCCAGAGGAAGCAAAACCAGCACAAAGCATTCTAGCTGTGATCCCTCCGGGGTGATTAAAATAGTAATTTTTCTCACAGACTTCACTCTCAAGTATGGGTACTTGTGTCTGCTGCAGTCGACTAGCAAGGCTCCCATCTGCTGGGGGGAGAAATTGGCAGAGGAACATTTATCACATTGCAAGCTATTTGCAGTGTTAAAGAACCTGCTGAGAATACAAAACTGGAGACGGAAACCAACAGAAAGAGACATCGGCTAAAAACACACGTTTCCTCATGTCCCCTTGCTAACAGCCACAATTCTAATCCAACCAGGCAGCTGAGTACGGGAACTGGATTTTCCTCCAGGTTATCTGAACCTTCTGGTTATGTAATACAGGCTGGTGCCTGTACACATTATGTCAGACTGTGAAGGATCCCCTTTGCCAACAGTGCAGTATAGCTATTTCAGAGCAGAAGTAGATGCTCAATTTGGCTTTGCTCAGCAAATGGACTCAAACACAGCTCCTGCTGGAAAAAGCCAAGGTTTTAGCTAGTGTCTCCCCAGCCTACCCCAAGTTTGTCTCCGAATGACCATACCTCTTGTTGAGGAGCCTCTCCTCAGTGCCCTGATCATTTTAACCCTTTGATGGTTTGTGAGGCTTCCTACTCCCTACAAACCAGAAAGTAAGATCCAGCACGGGAGCTTTACTTAACTGCTAGGCGTGGAATCCTGGACATGATTCTAATTATAGCTAGACAGCTGCAAATCAGCCAGCCCATAAGCAACACATCTATTTGTACAGTGATAGCAGAAAGCTCCTAAATGCTAAAATCACCTGTGCGTAGGAAGAGCAGTGGATCCTGCCATCCACTACCCACCCAGCATAGTGCACAGCACACCTGACAAGGATACTAAGAGATGCAGGACAGAGGTAGAATCTTCACAGACATTTCCATCTTGTTTGCCCATTTAGAGAAGAAGAACATACTACATACCTTCTTGGGTGCTCCCCCAGCCAGTCATGGTGCACAGAACAGAGGAAGGTAACGGTTGTGTGCTGTTGGGCAAACATATTGGCCTCACAACAGTGTTATACTCCAGAGGGACATCCAGTTGGATCAGTGCAATATCAGAGTCATAGCTCACGGTATCAAAGTCAGGGTGCACCACAATAGTTTTCACCCTTCTCACCTGTACCAAACAGGATCAAACGTTAATGAAGCAAAATGATGAAATCAAAGAGGCTGGCCCAGGGAAGATACAACTGAAAATGGACATTAAAGGGAGATGGGTTTAAAGTACATTTTGGAAGAGATAAATCGGTGTCAGGCTGGAGAAGAGTCAAAACAGATTAAAAGAGGGAAGATTCAGGACTCTGGAGGTCACCTCAGTATAGCCCCCAACTCTTGGTTACAGATGGGCCACAAATGGAAGAGACTGTCTTAAAATCCCCTGAATTTAGGAGCGAGGATTCTATTTCATTTTGCTAATCTAAGCGGATACATTTTTGCAGAAGACCAACATAAACTACCCCTATGATTTTGCCCCCTTGACTCAACTTAATGCATAGAAAGGCACTGGTCAACAAGTGATTCTGTAGGAAGATGTATTGCCCAACATTAAGACAGCAAGATGCTGTGTTTTGCCAACTACGAAACTTAAAAAAAAAAGATACTAACAAGAGAAAGCCTTAAAAGGTATCAACAAGGATTAGGTTTGCCATGCAAGTCCACAGACTATATCGTTTCAAATGCTCTTCTTCCCTTTGGTCACCCAAGACACCCACCTTTCTTTGGTTATTTCATCTTATTCGTTAGCACCGGGTTTTATTTAGCGCACGTGGATCTATTACAAAGAAGCAGGGAAGAGGAATCAACACAATCCACATTTTAGCTTGTTTTGTTTAGTCTCTACCTGTTCTGTTGACTCCTTCAGGATTCTATCATGGTCTCCCACGATGACAGTCCAATGCAGTGGTCTGTTTGTTCTGTAAAATAGAAATAACTGCACTGGATCTGTGTATAACCAGCCTTATGTATTCCTTATTCAGCATACTGACCATCTTTTGCTTGGTCTTCAATGCCAGTTTAATTAGTCACCTTCCCCCAGACTGACGAGTCAGAGTTTCACCATGACAAAGTCTTCTACAAGTGGAAGTTGCTGAAATACACCAGATCTAATTTTATGTGAACCCCTTCTCCCCCACTGAGCCAATGTTTTCCACAGGAAAAGGCTAAACTACAGCCTTGGAAACAAGCAAAGGAGAGTTTTATAAGTGGGAGTGTGGGTACTTTTCAGCATTGTTTCTCTATCCTAGAGGAGGGGATATACACTGTCCCAAAAGGAATATCTGTGCACATAGAAGCACAGGGAAGCATTTGCCAGAGAGATTTACTCACGACTGTATACAGTGGGCTGCTGTGAGTACCCATGTTGGACTGATGATGACACCGCCACACTGATGGTCACCTAAAAATTGCAAGCCTGCCTGCCAAGGCCAGCAATGGGGACATGCTTCTTCTCCCCCGACAACACGTCCAGACAGCCACTGTGGACTAAATGGGGGAAAGCCACAGACATCTGCAACACAACAGCCAGAAAGCTAGTGAGTGACACACTGACTTCCGAGACTCTCTTCCTTTGCATCACATTAGTTTTGTTTGCAATTAAGACTATAAAGCAGATGCACCCCAAAGAGATGCAGTACAGCAGGCTCCCTTCATAGGGGTAGCAGCTGGTGTGGTTATTTATTTTGAGTAGTAGAAATGCAAGCTTGATGTAGGTGGCTGAGAACTTGAATCCTGGACAGAGGTTCCATATTATACCTCAAAGAACAAATAAAGCCCAGACAGATGCTTGTATCTTTCTCCCACCCTATAAATACATGGATCAATTTCAAGTTTTCCTCCCCCAATCCAGGTTGGAAAGGATTAAACTAGATGGATAATGTGGCACTGGATGGGCACAACCCCTGAAAGATAAGTGGGCATTTCTCCCCATTTCTTCACTCTGAATATGTTTTATACCTCCTTACTGTGTATACCTTACAGCCCATGTGCACCTGCACCACTGAAGTCTATTTCCTAAGGATCCTCTGGTTATAAGACAGGAAGAACTATTGACACAGCCCATTACAATGAGTTTGTTACCAACTTACCTAAGGGGATATTCTTTGGAGTGGTCGTCTGTAGAACAATTGGTTCTGCAACTACTGATTCAGCTTCTTCTGCTGAAGACAGAATAAGTGGAACCTATTTTACTCTCAAGGCATCAATCATGGCCCCACTTCTTCCTCCTCCCCCCAAAGCCCCAATCCTGTAGGAGGACCTCCTACAAGTGAAGTCCAGATCCTTCAATGTTAGCAGCCGGCATATAAGAGAGCGAAGCAACAGCAGTCATTCAGGGGACTGTTACCTAGGGTTACCATTCGTCCGGATTTACCCGGACATGTCCTCCTTTTTGTTCTAAAAATTAGCGTACCGGTGGGAATTTGTAAAGCACTCAAAATGTCCGGGATTT